AAAGTAGAGATAGTGTCTGTCTCCTGAATCCAAACTGGAAGCTGGTTCCACAGAAGATATAAAGGATATAAAGATTTGCATGATATTCCAAACCCTCCATGAAATGAAAGAGGATCTCACTGAGAGAAAACAAAGTGCTAAACAAAGCTTTAAAATGAAAGTGTTTCTGCAGAACAGCAGTTATTGAATTAAATGTAGTGCATTTAAATTCTTTTACTTTTTTTTTCTAGACTTTTTGGTTTGAAAATGTTTTAAACTACAAGTCACATTCACCTGTTCACACTTGTGACACACTGGGACAATATTGGGTCGACCTTTTCCCCAACAACACTCTGACCCACTGCACCTACTGCCCCAAGATAGTGACTGAAGTATATGCAAAGCCAAACAACTCACCCAGATTCTTGTGGCGATCACAAGTGTGTGTTAGAAAAGTAGAAGATGCTGCAGCTCTGGTGTCATATCCTCTCCTGTTTATAGTGTGCAGACCTTTTCCCTGCAATGTGCACAAGACAGTGTGGACTGAATAAATAGAAAAGCATCTTCCTAAATAAGTAGTGGATGAAGGGGAGGAACTGAAACTTGCACACAATCATTGTGTGGTAACAATGATTTCAAGTTAAACACCTTGCTCAGTAAAAGCAGAACCATTAACCTTTCAGTACCTAAAGAGACGATAATAAAGAAGAACAAGTATCTGGACTGACCTGTTGAAAGATCTCCAGCCATACAATGTTCTACTGAAACAAACCTGTTTCATTTTAAATTCAATTTAAGAGACAAAACTCTCACCAGGAGAGTTCACTTTTGATGTGAGCTCATTATTCATCGTCATCCACATTAAAGCTAATCCCCCACAAACTAACTTGAATGAGGCTTGGATGGGACACAAAGATCCTTGAAGAGTTAAGCAATTAATAAACTCAAACCTGTGATCATTCCCAAATTGGAACTTACCGCTGCCATAGTAGCTCCGCTCATAGACCAGGTGACTGAGGAAGAAAATGAACTTCCACTGTTGTTATTTGGAAATGCAAAAAAAAAAGAAAAAAAATGAGACATGGTCATTCCCGACCTTTGTCACCAACAGGGTTTTTGTAATGGGAATTGGGAATAAAGGGATGGAGGCAAAGTAAAACATGAATCCAGCTGATTCTGTATCACGTCTCCATGTCTTTGAGATAAAGTGTAGCTACAGGTGCTGGAGAGTCAAAGCTAAAGATTTGACTCTGACGGGAAACAATTAGATATGAAGATATATTGTAATAAATGTTACCACAATGACTCTGAAAGAATGCACCAGTGCAAGCAAGAAGCTGCTGATGACACCAGAGAGCTGCTGTATGGCTTCTACCTTTAGCACATTTACTACATGTGTTTTTGGAAAGTACATCTTTTAAAAGCAAAAGCAAATCTAGAACAAAGTTGTTTTGATGGTGCCCGAAGGTAAAACTACATGTAATCACTGGGGCAGGTTTGTGGGAACTTGCACAACAACCACAGAATTCCTAGCAAGTTCAAAAATGATCTGAACTGTTAACGTTGTCCTATGTTACTGATAGGCTATGGTCGCTAAGCTAAGCCTGTTAGCTAACACTTGCACTGGTACACAAAGCAGGTACATGAATTTACCTCATGGTTAGACCAGGGGTCACAACCTTTAACACCCAAAGAGCCATTTGGAGCCGGTTTCCACGCAAAAGAAAACACTGAGAGCCGCAAGTACTTTCTGACATCTAAAATGAAGATAACACTGTATATATTGTTTTTTACTTTTATGCTTTGTGTGAACAACTAAGGTGTGCTGCTTATGAAATCCATGAAGTGCTACAGAGTAAATTTTATTTATGCAATTAACACATTTTGAACTCTTAAAGAAATATAACAAAAGGTAAGACGCTGAACTAAAATGATCCAGCAAACAAAAACTGTTATATCGCCTTTGTGCTTTTGGAGCCTTGACCTGACTTTTAAAAAGTAATTGGAAAAAAGCACTATGCTGCTAAAAAATGAAAAATAGATATTTGCAAAATTCTGCCTAAATATGTATTTTAGCTGGTTAATGTGTGTGGCGGGGCGTGGTCTGCAGCGCCGCTGCAGGGGAGGCGACGCACCTGAGCAGCACCCGCAATCACGCCTCACCGCCTTAAAGTCTGTGCTCTCTGCTGTTGTTGGTGTGTGTCGGGCTGTGAGCTGCAAAGCTACAGCCGGCTGTATGCGTCAGCAACTGTGTGTGAAAAGTGGTCAATAAAGAGATGCTGAAAAGCGTGTTCATGAAAACATCGTCGGGTCTGCCGTGATATGTTTACAATAAGACTTATGGTCCCGAACCTCTGCGCACAGCGTCTGCAAATCGGGGCTTTCATCTTTACGCAGGACTGTAAGCTGTCGTCTGTGAGGCGTGAGCGGTGTTTGTTTTAACATAGTTCACGGTGGAGCTGCTGACATAATGTGGATCCGAAGATCCATAACTGGCCTCCCTGGGGTTGAAAGTCTCGATAAATGCACGGCGTTTCGGCGGGTACACCGGCTTCCGCGAGTGTGACCCTTATTTTGAGCGATGAAAAAATAATAGAATATAAATTTATTTTTATATTTCAAAATCACAATAATCCAATTTAGAACTACAAGTTAAAAAGAACTAACATAAATAAAATACACTTGCCGACCCCTGGGTTAGACCTTTATCAAGCATGTGACTCAACATAACAAAGAATAAGGACTTTTTTCTTTGACTTTGGCTTCCTGTTTGGATTCATGTGAGGCGTAATCCACTTATTGTTTGTAGCATCTCTTTTATGTGCTGTAATTGCTGTATTTATCTGTCTGTATCTGTGCTTTTACGCTCTTATGTTGTCTCCACCGGATATCACAGAATACTGACATTCAGGAGATCTCTCCCAGCTAATGCTTTAATGGGAGGAGACGCAGGGATGTATTATCAGAAAATGTAAAAGATAAGTGGAAGAAGAGTGATCTCTGGGTAATGGATGGCAATTTGTGTCAATAATCACCACAGATTTGAGAAGTAAATAAATACAACACATTAAGATTTTATCCTGGCAGATGTCCTAATACCTATCGAAATATAGCTTTTTAAACTTGTGAGCTCTGCATTGGCATCAGTAACAGCCCTAACATCCAACTGTAACCCTAAAACTCAGGAGTTTTTAAAAAGAGTTTAAATCATATGTTCTGATAGCATCACTGATGACTACTTAGACCTCAGACAGTTAAGCCACATGCTTTATAGGCAAAATTGTTTCAAAACAGTGGACATTAACCCAACCCCAACTCTAGAGGAGTCAACAATGACCTGTTGGGTTTAAATGTTAAGCTAATAGGTAGGGTTGGGGTTACATTCACATTTATCTTTCTCAGTTCTCACCTACGTGGTATACCCCAGTGAAAAACATTTTATAGAAGAACTAAATGGCTAAAATTTAGTGGCAGCAACTGATTTGAAAAGCAACATCTTCTAGTTTGTGAAACCATGATTATTTAGCATGTGACTAAAATACAAGCAAATCCTTATGCTACCTATAATGTGCCAGTTTCACATAAGAAGTATTGACCCTGACTCTCATCTCTGACAGATCGACGTCGGTCTGATGGTGGGCAACAGCCAGGTGATCTTTGAGAAGGCTGAGAATTCATCCCTCACACTAGTCGGTACGTTGTGTCTTGTAGTCTGCTCATAGCAAGCATGAACAAAAAAAACGCTTTGCAAACACAGGCAAATTCAAGCTGTACTAACAATTCATGTCGGTATAAATACAAGTGCTCCACAAGATGGCAGCAGGAACACATTCTCAGAAAAAAGCATTTTCTATGCAGCTCCTCTGCCCACAAGAAAAGCTTCAATGCTTTTTTTCCTCACTGACTTTTCCTCATATCTGAGAATCGTTCCCCTTTATGTTTTAACAGGCAAGGCAAAGACCAAGGAGGCACGACAGACAATCATCAACCCAGACTGGAACTTTGAAAAGATGGGAATTGGTGGTCTGGACAAGGAATTCTCAGACATTTTCCGCAGAGCCTTTGCCTCCCGAGTCTTTCCCCCTGACATTGTGGAGCAGATGGGTGAGGAAGCATTCTCTCATTTGTACTAAGCTACAGTGATTGTCTTTCTTGGAGTATTTCTTGCATCTTCCCCATCTCTTAATGGGCTGATGGTGAGAAAATGTATGTTTCTTTTTTTAAATGTTTATTTATAAGATTTTAAGTTCAAAGTTACATAACGTCACACCAGACAAAG